ACGTATAACAGCCCCTCCCCCTCCACCCCCACCCACACGCCCCACCCCCTTATTTCTTTCTCCATCTCTCCTCCATTTTTGTCCCATCCCCTTCCCTTCCTTCCTTATACCCCTTTCTTCCCTCCTGTCGCTTTCTCCTCTCGTCTCTCCTCTCTTCCTTCCCCATCCCTTCCCCTCAACTTTCCTCTTTCTCAGCTCCACCTCCTCTACTCCACCCTCCCCTCCCCTTCCCACCCCTCTTTCAACTTCATCTCTTCTTCCTCTTTCCCTTCTTCGCCCTTTTTCATAAACCCCCCTCCCCCTCCAGCCTCCACGCCTCCCTCCACCTCTCCTCCCTTCCCTCCCACCGGTCCCAGGAGCAACGTTCTCCCGTAACCCGTGTCGAGTTTTCCGGTGAAGCTCACGGTAACTGCACAAGCTTTGTTCCTGCACTCACCCACAATTTCTTCACAGGAAAAGAAGGACAATACACAGTTTTATGTTTCAACTCTGCTCTGAGAAAAATAGTCCTTTTGAACGATCCCACAGTCTTGTGTTTCGCCTCAACTCAGGCAAAATTGTACTGTAGAAACAAAACGCATTCCCCTAATGCCCAAAGATTTTTGTAATTGACTTTTGATTTTGTCTATTCCCAAAGGGGTGGGTCGGATGGCTTGATTGGACGAGAGGCGAGCGAATGTTGACTGGTCAGAAACAAAAGTGGACCGGTTTCCGAGAGTAAGTCTGTCTTGCGTCAGAAGAAATGGCGTACCGCGAGGTGGCAGGCTTAAATGTTTGGTCCTAGATCTACTATAGAAGTGCATTAACTTTTCTGAGCGGTTCAGAAGAGCTTTTTATTGATTGTAATCGGGCAAACCAATCAATAATTAGGAATTAATTGCTTTCTTCTTTTTTCAAAACAATCCCTCCCTAGAATAACTCTCAGTGTCAGACTTAGTCTCTGAATCGTCTTTGAGAACAATGAACGAGAAAAACGGGAACATTTTTACCCACTGTATCTCCTCGATTAGAGGTTATTGCCATTTCCTTCTTTTAAGGTCATAACAGTTTGGCGTCCGAATTTGACGTCATTTGGACTAAGGTACCCCGTTGGAATACATGTGCTTCGCTCTGTCCTCTTTCGTTTTTTCATTTTTCCTTCTGTCTCTCTCTCTGTTTCTTTTTCTCTTTGTGTTTCTCTCTCATTCTCTCTCCTTTTCTTTCTTTCTTTCTTTCTATCTTTCTCTCTCTTTTCCTCTCTTTTTCTCCCTTTTTTCTTTCTCTCTCTGTGTCTTTCGCCCTCTCTCACTCTTTCTCTCTCTCTCACGCACACTGCCACATAGACACACCCAATATGCACACACATATATATATATA